TCCCTGTCTGACACCCCCCAGCACAGACACACATAACGTCTGGCTCTGAGCCGCCACTGTGCACCCGCAGCTTGAGCGTGGTACTGTTATCCCCATTTTAAAGATGGGGCAACTGAGGCTGCATAGAGGCGTACAAATACAGGAAACCCCCCCCTTTCATCCAGCCCAGGTTGGGACCCCCCCCCACACACACACACACGAACGACCATTTTTGTAAGTGTGGAAGGGACTGGAAACCCCTGACTTACATCCTTGGCCTGTAATTACAACACGCATGGCACCTATTGTAAACGTAGGTTCGAGTTACAACGCCCCCGCCTTGCACCGCTTCCCCCAGAACCAATCACATCACAAGTCTGGGAGCGCCTGTCCTTATGTTCCCTTGTGTGACTGCTCATGACTCTCCCACGTACACATACAAAATACACCCCCCATGTACACTAATGGACATATAGATAGCTATAGCCCTCTGTGTGGCCAATGGCCAACACATATACACACAGAAATAAACATGAACCAATATGCACTAATGAATATGCCTGCATAAACATGTATGAGCATATAGGAAAACAGGCACATGTTTTTGTAAATGAAAAGACATGCATAAACATGCATCCTGAGCTGTTTATAGTGTATCCACTTGCCAACATGGATGCACACATGTACAAAACATGCACAAAGTATGCCTAGATGCTATTTCCCCCACAAAGTATGCATAGATGCACAAACCCCACAACTAACATATATGTATGCACAACTCCTGCATATAGAACAGTAACATACATGTATACAAATGCACACAATTCACAAAATGCACCAATGCACAAAAAGTGCACATACGTATACATACACTGGGGAATGTATTTGTCTCCTCTGGATCCTGACGTGTTGTGCTAATACATATACAAGACATGTTATACAAAAGGTCAGACTAGATCATACACATTTCTTCTAGCCGTAGATTCTATTAAAAGACTTACATACATGTATTTATATGTATACATTTATGTGGTTTTGTATGCATGTGGAAGGAGTTGTGAGCATACATTTGCAAAGAAGTACAGGCAGTCCCCGAGTTACGCAGATCCGACTTATGTCAGATCCGCAGTTACGAACGGGGTTTGCTGCCCGTCTCCCTGGTCTGCTGGAGACCAGCAGACCAGGGAGATGGGAAGCAAAGCCTCTGAGGACGCCGGCAGCGGGACAGCCGGGGCGCGTCTGGGCTGTCCACTGCCCGTGTGCTCCGCGGCTTTGCTCCACGTCTCCGCTCCACGTCTCCCCAGACCAGGGAGACGGGGAGCAAAGCCAGGGAGCACGCGGGCAGCGGGCAGCCCAGACGCGCCGCGGTTGTCCCGCTGCCGGCATCCTCAGAGGCTTTGCTTCCTGTCTCCCTGGTCTGCTGGGCTCCAGCAGACCAGGGAGACGGGGAGCAAAGCCGCGGAGGACCCAGGCGGCGGGACCGCGGGGCGTCTCGGTCCGCCGCCCACGTCTTCCTGGTCTGCTGGGGTGGGGGGGGGCACAGGCAGGAGCCCCCCCCCCAGCGCTGGTCTGCTGGGGGGGGGCGTGCAGCTAGTACGCTAGAGTTAGAGTTGCTCTGCCTCGGGCTTCCTGTAGTCAGCCGCTGGTCAGTTTCAGCAGCGGCTGAATCTGGACGCCAGTTCCGACTTACATACAGATTCAACTTAAGAACAAACCTACAGTCCCTATCTTGTACGTAACCCGGGGACTGCCTGTATATGTATGTGCATACACAAGCAATAATTCACATACATCAGTGTGACATACATCCCTTGTAGAAGCAATATAAGTTACACAATACACATGACTGTGTCTAGACTGGCAAGTTTTCCCGCAAAATCAGCTGCTTTTGCGGAAAAACTTGCCAGCTGTCTACACTGGTCGCTTGAATTTCCGCAAAAGCACTGATGATCTCATGTAAGATTGTCAGTGCTTTTGTGGAAATACTATGCTGCTCCCGTTCGGGCAAAAGTCTTTTTCCAAAAAACTTTTGCGCAAAAAGCGATTGGGGCTTTTTTGCGGAAAAGCGCGTCTAGATTGGCCACAGATGCTTTTCCACAAAAAGTGCTTTTGCGGAAAAGCGTCCTGCCAATCTAGATGCGCTTTTCCAAAAATGCTTTTAATGGAAAACTTTTCCATTAAAAGCATTTCTGGAAAATCATGCCAGTGTAGACGTAGTCATAAGGAACAGGGATAGCAGTTCCTGGCTTGCTT